TTATACCATAATGGTCAAGTTTGTGGAGTAGGATGCCATAGTCTACTGTGTCAAAAGCTTTTCTTAGGTCAGTAAAAAGTCCTGGCAGATATTCCTTATTTTCCAATGCTGTGTAAAGCAGAAGAAAATGCCAAAGAGGACCTACATCACACAGGAGGAAAAGGCACTGCCAAGACACAAACCTATGAAGGATAGGCTAACTCTTTTGTTATGTGGTAATGCTAGTGGGGATTTCAAAGTGAAGCCTTTACTGGTGTATCACTCTGAAAATCTCGGAGTGTTCAAGAAAAACGATGTCATGAAGAATAAATTGTGTGATATGGAAGGCTAACAATAAGATTGTAATAAAGTTGGTAGAATTACCGACAATATGTAAAGTAAAAGGACACAAGTACAACTAATGTGACATTTTATTGTGGCAACGTTTCGCTCTCCAGGAGATTTATCAAGCCATTACAAGCAATACATGGACACAGAGGGTATATAAAGGCTCAGAGTGAGGTGCAATACTAGTGAGGTACCATTTCGATGTTCACTAGTGGTAGTAGTAGTAGTAGTGACAAAAGTAATACAATATGGTAGAGCAATTAATTCGTACATGAGTAAAAGGATATAAAAGCTATTACTTGGGTAACATAAAAATAGGTTGGACAAATATAGACTGGAAAGAGGCAGCTTGTTTCAGTGTTCACTCTCTGTAATGTGCTTTGTGTAGTATAACAGGAGAGACTGTGTGATGGCAGGGTTTACTGTTTTCAGGAAGATTCTTGCTAAGACTTCAGAGATGGTGAAGCTGCCGTTGTTTTGTTTAATTGTATTTGAAACGGCGATCAGTGCTGATTCAAGGCACTTGCGTCTGCGGAAATTAGTTTCTTTGATCACTAACATCGCTAAGGAAACCTTTGAAACTGCAAGGAATATGAGGGCCAATCTTCAGATTGACCAACACACTGCTGAGCATATTCTCAGCACAGTCACCACAGCTAACCTCCAACAGAAGATCAAACTCAATCGCAAATTTCAGTACCTCTGCACTAACAGTCGATGGAAGGAAATGGGACGCGAATCCCTGATAAACAACTTATCGTCACGCACCTTAACCGACTACGAGAAACAAGCACTGAGTCTGGGACTCAAATTTACCACCAACATACGCAAACCTAACTATCAACTCAATCTAGTTACCAGGAACCATAGACACTGACAGCAACTTCCAGAAGGGTTATATACAGGGCCTTCTCACTGCAGCTTTATGTGAACCTTCTTCTTCTAATCTTCCTAGACGATACATCACTGCCCTAAAGAACCTCGCCAATGACCACAACATTATCGTCACCACCGCCGACAAAGAAGGTGGAGTCGTCATACTCAACACCAGTGACTACAACACTAAAATGATGGACCTTTTGAATGATCAATCTACATATGAACCCATCAGCACTCAACAGTGGGAGACGCTCACCAAAGATTTTCTATACAAAACCAGACAAATACTCAAATGCACTAGAGAAGGGAAGAAACTTCTGTACTTGTTACCAAGCAACCCTAAACCAGCACACGTGTATGGTTTACCCAAGACCCATAAACACAATATTCCTCTCAGACCAATCACATCAGGAATAGGCAGTGCTCCACACAAACTAGCCGGAGTTCTTGCCAAACATCTTTCCTGCCTTCTGGGGACCATCAGCCCCGCTCATCTTAAACACTCAGGCGACCTTCTCAACCGCATCCGAAACCTCTCCATCCGTAACAAGAAACTAAGCAGTTTGGATGTGACTTCCCTCTTCACAAAAGTACCTACCAAAAAAGCCATCGAGGTTCTACGACGTAAAGTTAATCAGGACCTTAATCTTCCTCTACCTCCCGGAGATTTTGTTGACTTGATTGAACTCTGTGTTAATTCAACTGTTTTTCTTTCAATAACAAGCTCTCAAACAAACCTACGGCATGGGAATGGGGTCCCCCATCAGTGCCGTCCTAGCCAACTTACACATGGAACACCTAGAGTCCAAACACTTTGCCAACATCATCCCTTCAAGCGTCACTTGGTTAAGTTACATGGACGACGTCCTTGTAATAACTCCCAAACGTTTTGATGTACGGAATCTTCAGGCAAGGCTCAACGCAGTTGAACCGGCGACCCAGTTTACACTAGAAGAAGAGTCCAATGACAAGCTACCTCTCCTCGACGTCCTCATTCACAAAGTAGACAACAACCTAAGATTTCAAGTTTATCGGAAACCCACCAATAAAAATGATCTCTCACACTTTTATTCCAGTCAAGATACCAAGACCAAAAGAGGCATCATCATCGGGTTTTTCCTAAGAGAATACCGAATTTGTAGTCCTGAGTTTCTTGACGAGGAATGTACATACATTCACCAAACATTCACTGAGTTACATTTTCCTTCTTTTTTCATCAAAGACTGCAAGAAAAGAGCTCTTCAGATCATTAATTCTCCATGCATCAACACCACTCCCAACAAAGTTATAATTCTTCCCAACATCCAGGTTGCACTGAACGTCTCAAAAGTACTTTCACAAGCTAATACCAGAGTCGCCATCGCTTCTAGCACTTCAATAAAGGATCTAACCAGGACAAAATCCAAGCACCACGAACCAGTCAATGCAGGAGTTTACACTATACCCTGTGGAGGCTGTGACAAGATTTACGTAGGTGAAACAGCAAGAAACCTCGACACCCGCCTCAATGAACACATTTACGCATGTAGGAACGATAACCTGAACAACGCCTGTGTACAACACCGAAATTCTACCAATCATCTCATGAATTTCAGAGACGCCCAATTAGTGATCAAAGAAACTAATTTCCACAGACGCAAGTGCCTCGAATCAGCACTGATCTCTGTTTCGAATACAATTAAACAAAACAACGGCAGCTTCACCATCTCCGAAGTCTTAGCAAGAATCCTCCTGAAAACAGTAAACCCTGCCATCACATAGTCTCTCCTGTTATACTACACAAAGCACATTACAGAGAGTGAACACTGAAACAAGCTGCCTCTTTCCAGATTATATTTGTCCAACCTATTTTTATGTTACCCAAGTAATAGCTTTTATATCCTTTTACTCATGTACGAATTAATTGCTCTACCATATTGTATTACTTTTGTCACCACTACTACTACTACTACCACTAGTGAACATCGAAATGGTACCTCACTAGTATTGCACCTCACTCTGAGCCTTTATATACCCTCTGTGTCCATGTATTGTTTGTAATGGCTTGATAAATCTCCTGGAGAGCGAAACGTTGCCACAATAAAATGTCACATTAGTTGCACTTGTGTCCTTTTACTTTACACTAACAATAAGACATGGGTCACGAGGCTAATTTTCATTGAGTGGGTCAGTGAAGTGTTTGGCCCAAGTGTGAAGAAATACTTCCTGGAAAATAATTTGCTACTTAAGTGCCTCCTGGTAATGGACAATGATCCTGCTTATCCTCCAGATTTGGAAGACATATTGTTTGAGGAGTGTAATTTCACCACAGTGAAGTTCTTGCCCCCCTAATACCACTCCTCTCATCCAGCCCATGGACCGGCAGGTCATTTCAAACTTCAAAAAACTGTACACCAAAGCAGTGTTTCAAAGGTGCTTTGAAGTGACCTTAAGAGAGTTCTGGAGGAATCACTTCAATATCCTCAATTGCATAACCCTTATAGATAAGGCTTGGCAGGGAGTGACTTCCAGGACTTTGAACCACTTGGAGAAAATTATGGCCAGAATGTGTCCAAGAGAAGGATGTGAAGGGTTTGAAGCTGACCCTGATGACCCTATGCCTGTTGTGGAATCTGTTGTGGCTTTGGGAAAGTTCATGGGGTTGGATGTGAGTGGTGTTGATGTGGAAGAGTTGGTGGAGGACCACAGGGAAGAACTAACCACTGAAGAGCTGCAAGACCTTCAACTAGAACAACAACAGACCACAGCTGAGGATATTGCTTCAGAGGAGGAAGAGAGGGGGAGAGAATGTGCCTTCTTCAGCGATTAAGGACATTTGTGCAAATTGGAGTGAGGTGCAAAGTTTTGCGGAGAATTATCACCCTAAAAAAACTGTTGTAAGCCGTGTCTGCAACATGTTCAATGACAGTGTCTAGTCCCATTTTAGGCAAATCTTAGGGACGCCAGAAACGGGCCTCTCTGGACAGATTTTTTGTGCGACAGGGGTCCAGTGACTCTCAAGCTGGTCCTAGTGGCAGTAAAAGATAAAGAAGAAGTAACACCAGAGAGGGCTTTGATACCTGAAGTCCTAATGGAGGGGGATTCCCCTTCGAAACAATAAACTTTCCTCTCTCTCCTCTCCTCGCCTTCTTCCATATGCCAACAAGTCTTCAATAAAGGTTTGTAATGTTTATATATAATTAAAATTAGTGCTTTATATTTATTTCTCAATGTTTTCTGTATGTAAAACTATAGTTATTCTCTAAAAAATTTATTTTTTGTTAATAATTTTGGGTGTCTGGAATGGATTAATTAATTGGATTTACATTATTTCTTATGGGAAATATTACTTCGGTTTTCAATCATTTTGGATTTAGGCCACCCTTCTGGAATGGATTAATTATGAAAACTGGGGGTTTACTGTTTAATCTGTATGCCCACATCATTTTAATAGCCAATCTTCAGCCTTCTTAATTATACAAACATTGTCTGAGTACGATGGTACCTTGAGTTATGAGCTTATCTTGTTCCAGAAGGCTGTTCAAGTGCCGATACCAAATGAATTTGTTCCCATAAAAAATAATGTAAATTAGAATAGTCCGTTTCAGACCCCCAAAAAATACTTACAAAGGCACTTACAAAAATACATTTACATAATTGTTCAAGTTGGGAGCTGTTCAAAACTCAAGGTACCACTGTATACAGTATTTCCTACAAGAACAACATACCAAAGCAGTATGCAGTTATAAATTTTACCTATTACATAATCTAAACTTTATATTTCTTCATGCTAATATGCTCCATTATTTTTTCAGGTACCCCATGTGCCTTTACTTTCTGGATCTGCTACAGCACGAAAACTTTAGAAAAGAAATTGTTAATGGCCAATGCTGTAAATTCATTGATGATCAAACTGTACTACACTGGCAGCACTACTCCCGCAAGCGTATGAAACTTTTAGAAACTGGAATTCATCAGCAAGGCTCACAAACCCCAGTCTCACAGTCAACAGTAGTGTCTGGTGCTCCAACACCTGCTACTCTTCCCACTAACTTGTTAAATGGTCATGGACAGACTCAGAAAGTGTGAGGAAGGGAGCATATAAGCATATGAAGATAGATAAATTTCTGCAACAAGGACTGTGCATAATTTGGGTAGGGATAACCACATTTTAACACATTTTTTATAGTTGCTGGATCAAAAATTCTGCTGCAAGTATGGGGGATCGGGTAATCCTCAGCTACCATGATTGTTTGATCCATGAATCAGATCTGAGGCTGTTGGAAGGCCGTAATTGGCTTAACGATTCTCTTATTTCATTCTGGTTTGAACATCTACAGCACGACACTTTCCGTGGAAGGTCTCGGCTGCTGTTTATTAGTCCAGAGGTGACGCAGTTAATTAAGATGGGAGATGTCAATGAATTACCTATATTCCTTGACCCTCTTGATGCAAGATTCAAGGACTATATATTCTTACCTGTCAATGACAACTCATCAGTTATTGCATCTGGAGGGAGTCACTGGAGTCTCCTTGTGTATAGCAAGTATGACAGTAAGTGGTATCACTACGATTCCCAAAAGGGTGCCAATTATCGTGATGCTCGCTGCCTTGTACAAAGAATAAACACGTACCTTAATAGGGATATTCCAGCATCCTTAGTAGATGCTCATTGTACACAACAAGACAACAGCTATGATTGTGGGGCCTTTGTTATGACCTATGCTCACAGGGCAGCTGCACAGGCTGTTGAAGGCACTGCCCTAGGAACTTGTTATGTTGACAGACAAGAAGCTAACCGCATGAGAGACCTCATAAAGTCTCTTGTGTATAGACTTAAGGGGTGAAAATTGAGAACCATAAGATATAGCTCCTGCCTTTTCAACTGCCAAACTGCCCTTAACTGAACAAAATGAGCTTGTTGCATGTGTGGTGTTCCTAATCATGTTTACTAACAGGTGTTATGTGACAGGAAGAGCCTCGGCCAAAGGTTTACTATTTGCTGTGTCATTGTGTTTGTTACGAGTGAACAGGAATCTTTTCATTTGCAAAGTACCTAATTTATGCTGCTTATGCTGTTTTGCTAAATTGCAGTGTAAGCTTCTATGTGAATGAAGCTTTACTTATCTCAGGTCATTGTTATATAGTCGTGAGAAAGGATTTGATCTTCAGTATGGTTTACAAATATGAAATGCAGCCAGACATGTATAAAATATAATTTAAAATGCTGATTTTATTTTCCTGTATATAATGTACTGAAGTCCATCCATTTTATCTTACTGCTAACATGCTTCACCAGTAATACAGTAATGTGTAGCCTTGAAATAGTGATAATATAGCAGACACTTGCAGGCTGCATGTCTTAAGAAAATCCATAAGTACACTATGAAAATATTTTGTCTGTGTATTTCAACCTCCAGCTGAGGTCTTCAGCAGAGGTAAAACCAAAAAAATGAAATTGGATATATTCAGGGCTTTTGCAATACTATTTTTTTTTATTATTGGATCTCCTATTTCTTTGCTACTGAGAGACAGCCCTTCAAGGTGTGTGTATGTATGAAGGGGGGGAGTTCCCTTCAAGCCAGTAAAGGGCTTTTGATCGAAGTAATTGCTACCTTCCCTTGAAGTGAACCTGACTGCCTCCCATTTCCTAGGCATTGTATTACCTATAGGGATGGAACTCGTGTGAAATGCATACTGCCCACTGTGACTAATTACAAAAACACTTATCATAGGTGTTTCTTTCATAATGGGTTAATAGCTGTATCCCTGCTAATTGTGCTCCACATCCATCAATTTGAAGATAATTTATTAAAGAAAGAAGATTCAATGTAGAACAAAATTTGGAAATTTATCTAGTGATACTTTACATAACATAGTCATTGTTGCCTAGTCCATGTGATGGTAGACTTCTTTGCTGATGACACTGGCCTTTTGGCAGTTCTCAGTGACTCGGAAAAAGCTGCTACACTTATCTTCTTGCGAGACGCTGAATTCCTGCATGAGTGCAGCATTGCATTCTGCAAGGTCAGTGATCAATTTCACCAACAGGACAACAGCCTGGCTCTTCATGTAAGGTTCATGGACTGGTCAAGGAGTTGGATCCTCCAAGAAATCTCGTGGCAGTTCAAGGATTTCAAGAACCTCAAAAATTACATAAACAAAATTATACAATTCGTTCTTAATTGCCTGGTCAACTTACAAGATCTGCAGGTGATGGGCTCTTATTCCAAGGAACTGGACATCCTCCCCTTCCTTGGACTGACCTTGAATACCTCCAATTTTCCAGGTGCAATATGACTCCTACAGTTTTTAAGAGTCCCCTGTTTAAAATAAAGAGCTCTTGAGTTAGAGAGTTTTAGTGCTTCTTTTTTATTATAATAATCTTGAGCCAGGGAATTATAAATACCTTTCATTTTCATGGATCAGACCTGATTAACACACATTTCCCAGGTGATGCATGACCCCTATGGGGGTCATGCATTTTCCATCTGCATTTTCTGTTGTCACCAGTGAGGAAGCTGAATCCTACCAATGTTTCTGATAGGTAACAAGGATGATGACTGATTGCTGTGCTGGCTGCCTTAGATGTTACATTGGAACAGTTAGTGCAATGAGATTCAGATAGTTTCTAGAAGCTGCTGCCGAAGGTGAACTTGAGAATGAGTATTTGACAAATAGGGATCTTCACTTCTGGAGTGTGGCTGTGGGTTTAGTACCTAGACACCCGCTGCTGAAGGTTGGACTTGACAATGCAGTGGATTTGACGAAAAAAAGGGCTTGCTTCTTGGAGGTGTGCTGTGGGTTTAGTACCTAGTATTGCTTATAATAATAATTGGAGGTGTGCTGCAGTAGTGCTCTTCTACTCACTTCTCTCTCTCTCCTCAAAGGTGGTGTGGTTATGAGGGGAGCTCTGATCGCAACGAACAGAATCCCATCCATCCCTTCTTTCCTTGGATTAACCAAGCTGTCCTTCATTCCCCAGCATCTGAGCATGGCCCTTGGAGGTAGCTTCTGAAGCTGTCCTTGAAGTGTAATACGGATACCATAGTGTTATGGGTAATAGATACCGATATTATACCTTTGCCTAGCCTAGCCAGAAACTACAGTGTAAAGAGGTTTGCCACAGCAGGTGCCAGTTATACTACCACAAGGCCAGCTCATTTTTTTGTAAACTTCTAACTGTGTCTAGCCTACCATAGAGTGAAGTCATCAGTGATTGCCAGTTAGAGTGGAAATACTGGAAAGTGTAACAGTCTGTGGATTATCCAACAAAAAGTGATCTCTGGAAATACAATAAGTAAAGCGAAAGTGACAGATGTGTTGCGTATTCTTGTTGTTGCAGATTCGCTAGCGGTCTTGTCCCGCCCGGGTTGAGACAAGAGCTGTCGTGGTTGCGCCAGTATTACCACACGCAAGCAGATATTTTTCGTAAACTTCCTACAAAGTAAACTTTTTTAACACCAATAGCCCTACCATAGTTTAAGAACACGATACCATAGTGTTCGGTGTGGTGTAGATAAAAAAAATGAAGACGATGAAGTATAGTGCTTAAAGCACGATGTCCCCAAATCACCCAGGTTGTTACAAGAGCTGCAAGCGGTCACCAGCTACCATCCAGTAAATTTTTCCACCATCAAAGTACATTTTATTATAAAAGAACCTTTTCAAATCAAAATTACCCAATTTTTCTTAAATAGATTTTTACACAAGCTATTTCCAACACTGAAAAAAATTACCAACATGAAAAACCTGTGTCAAGCTGCAGACAATAGTACTAAGGGAGAAGTCAACTGGGTAGCATGGTAATTAATGCAAAAAATGAGCCAAGGCTCATGTGCGAAATCCACCATCTAACCATAAAATGATATTAAAACAGAGAAACTGTTTTTGGGTTCTGTCAAAGCAACATGAGGCAGTGGAAGACAAAATTTCATTTATGCCTAAAAGACAAAAAAACACCGAACAAAAAAAAATTTTTGTAGAATTTGAATCTTGTATGACAGCGACACTCTTCAAGGGGGGCCCTTCCTTGGCGTGGTGGAAGAGGCTCTTGGTCTGAGGAATTAGACCTAATCGGTCTCTGACTTTCCTCAGACCGTAACCTAATTACCGCTCCCCCAATCTCCCTCCCCTCCCCGTTATTATCCCATCCTCCCCATCCTCCCACCTTTTTCCTTTCCTCCTCCTCCTCCCCACTCCTCCCTTTTTGCCATCCTCTTTTTGTCCTTTTTGGGATTTCTCCCACAGGCGCGCGTCTAGTTCCTAGGTAGGATAAAGGACACCGGGGTCCATCTATCCCATTCCGTTGCGGTTTCTTGGCGGTGCTAGTTGCCCGTGGAATCTGATTGCCTAGGTCTTGTCACCCGATCCTCTCCTCCGTAATCCGGAGTAGCTTTGGGTGTCTTTTGGCGACGGGTGTTAGCTCTGGAATCCACCTTTCATTTCCGGGGTGGTGGCTGAAGGTGGTAGCTTTGTGGCGGATATCCGCGCTCCGGCCGCCCTCTACTTTGACCACGCGAGGTAGCTCGGCAGATGTGAAGGTTTCTTACTATCCCAGATTGCTGGTTTAACTGGCATGAAGGTAGGGTATGGCACGGGTTTCCATGCTGCATCCTGCGCTCACTAGCGGTGTCGAGTCATCTGGGCGGCGGAGGGAGATTCTTTCTGGCCCTTTCATAATCCCTCCTAGAACTATCCCTTCCTTCCGTCCCCCCTTTGTTTTTTCTTTTTTTTATTTTTATTTTCTTTTGCCTTCTTTCTTTCTTTGATTTTTCTTAAAGAACAAAAGAAAGAAGTAACCTAACCATGGTCAGCCCTAGTCCATGAACCTGGTACCCCCCGGGGGCCCCTTCTTGATACCGCAGACCCCGTTCTGACCCGCCTCGTCTTGGACCACTCTTCAGACATTCCTCATGCCTCTGTACCTATTGCCGTTGCATGAATTTCCTCACCCACCGCTTCAGGTACTGAGGCCCTCGACTGACCGTCCTTCGATTTATCAGACTTCCGCTCATCCCTCTGACTATCTCCGGCCTCTCCCATACGGTGCGGGGCAATTATCAAATCGCCGACCCGTCCCACGACGGACCAACTCGGTCCCCCACGCCTAAACGCAACGACAATACTGCAGATGATACCTCTCAACAACACCTTCACACTATCTCGTTCTTCACAGAAACGATCGACACGTCTTCACTACCTTTCCATCGGTCGTTTCAACTGGAAACATGGACTAAATTCTTCCACTTTAACTACCACTTCCCTACTGCCTATCTTTCTGACCTAGTATTGGCTAGCTGCACTCCTAACCATGTTGGTAAAAGATATTTTTGCTTTTCATGCCTTAAGCAGCGGAACGCGCATCATTACCGTACAGAATGCTACCCAAGGCTCGTGAACTCTCTACATCTTACACATATAGATACTGTTCGCGTCACCCTTGAAAACATCATTCCCCTCAATTCTTGTAGTGGTTGTAAACCGTTATTCTGCCCCATGACCATAGTTCAACACAATTTCCAGACTATGTGCACCGAACATTCTAAAACGCTGGAAAAACTGAAGCCTCCAAGATCTCCCAATCCCTCAAGTAAGAAAGCACACTTACTTCTTTCCAGTCCGTGGGGCGGAGACGATACACCCTATCAATGTGGCTCGTTTAACTTTTGACAGCCGAGAACTCCCATCCTCCGTTTAGTATAGCAGGACATCGGTTTACAAGTTCGAAATATGTGATCCCTACACGCACAACAGTGTAAGACATTGCTGGCGATTTGGCCGCTCCATCTCGAATATGCAGACTCTAATCGCCGATGCCCAGTCTGTGGAGCCGATGAACCATTCACATCACGTCTTGCAATCGATCTCCCCTCTTGCCTTAAGCTGTCTCTTGAGGCTCACCCTTCGTACTCCCGTCCGTTGTCATTGTCTATTTAACGGTGAATGACAGCGCGGCGAAATCCGTTACTCAAATGAGACAGAAGAGTCTCCCTTAGCCATGGCAGTTTCTCATCTCCGCATCCAAGGGAGACTCCCACGTGTCTTCATATTCCCGTGTTTCAAAACGTCCCCCTCCACATCTGGCTATCCCCCATCTTATACACCCACCTCTGTTGGTTACCTCTCCCATGAATCACTCCTGTATTCTAATCCTTTTTGCTGTCCTCCCTCGGCTAAGAGACGTCCCCTACTATTCCAAAACGCCTCCGATGCTAATCTCCCG